GAAAATTAAAAAAAAATATATACAATTATGTATATAGAAATATTTCTTCACAAAAATGATTTTCCCATGCTTTCGCGAAGACAACGCTTTGCTTGCATTGCGATTGCGCTAATTAGCAACAATCGGGCCGGGAATGAATGCTTTGCCATTGTTTCATATAATATTAAAACGTAAAAAAATGCTCAAATGCGCCCTAAGGTTAAATGTAAACGATCTTTAATCATAGATCAATGAGAAGGAAGAGCGGAATATAGATAGACAAGAGAAAAGATAAATAAGAAGATGATTTTCATTATATAACCCCTAGTAAGATCGGCACTTTTCTCGGCTTATTCAAGCAGGGATTTTATCAATTTTAACGAGATGATTAAAATGATCGGACTAAACATTAATTCAATATACATTACATGTACATGCAAAACGTTTTAAAACAATTATTAAACCAATATTGAAATTACAGCCAAACTTATTCGCGTGGAGGGTTTTTCAAAAATTGTTTTCGCCAAAAATATTTCAATGAATTTTTAATTCGATCATAAGTAAACAGTTAATTAATTTTCTCATAATTTATATTTTGAAGATAATAAGTAATTGAAAAGTAAGTGCTTGTCTGGAAAACTATGCCATTGAAATTTCTTATCAATCGCCGTCAAGAAAGAAGGTTTTCTTGTCTTTTTTTATTGTATAGTGCTCTTCTTTTTTTTTTTTTTTTTTGTTTATTTCATGTATTATTATGCAAAAAATATACAAAAATATTAGAAAATTTTTAAAAATAATTTTTGAAAAAAACATTATATATCTGTCGGTTTTTTTTCTTTTTTTTTTTTCTCTCTTTCTTGTTTCACATATGCCTCGAATGCACTTTATGAAGCCAATTTTAGAAATTGAGACAAAGCCAAAGAATTTTTCTTGTATTCTTTTCAATATTTTTATTTTTATAATTCATTTAAGTTGTTGTTATATCTATAACAATAATAATATTTTCTGTTCCTCTCGCCTATACATACGTATAGAAACATACACGTATGTACATATATACATCGGGAAAGGATAAAACTATACTAAGTTTATCGTTTGCCGGAAAAAATTGCAAAAATAGTTGCGATAGATATGTAATTGACATACAAAAACTTTCTCTACCTGAAAAGAGAGACCAAAAATTCGCAACGGAGATCGCAGACAAATTATAATGTTAATGAAATCCGCATGAATAGTCGAATAGAGAATGGAATCGCAACTAACAATTCAATGGTCGCAGGATAAACTCTCCAATGTGGAGACCGAGTATATGACCTAAGTTACCCGGCAACCTTTTAATCCACACTTTATGAAGTTATTTACAAAATATATGGGACAATGAATAAATAAAAATAAAGTTAGTGCGTCAGTCTTTTCATGTTGTCACTTCAACAGTAATAAGTGAGAGAGAAAACTGAGATTATTGTTCAAATATAAAGTCCAAAATGATTTCGAATCAAAACCAGAAATCAAAGTTTGTGTTTCAAGACAAAGCTTTATATGCGTAATTGTGGTTTCAATAAACAGACAGACGGACAGACTAAATTCCTTCGGTTAGTGAGACGGACCGGAATGTATGCGTACATATATTTCAGTTAGTATGAATGACAGAATGAATTCAATTAAATCTATCTATCTGTCCATCTGTCATCTGATGGGCATCATATAATCAAGCGTGCTTGGTTTCCATCTGAATCGATTTATAGGATGTACGCAGACATGGCTCCATTCATTGATCTGCAACTCGCAAATTATGTTTTAATAGGCATTATGCGCATAAGTGTTAGTAAGGTTTCAGATTACTTAAGTTGCCGTTTATACTTAGAGCATTTTGGGTCACTTTGTTAAGGTATAAGAAGATTAAGGGCGGTTGCTGTTTCTATGATCGCTCTTCCTATCGCCACAATATATGCTGACATTTTTCTTCGTGCATCTGTGAAGAGCGCATGAATTACTCTCCTAAAATCCGATTGTTTCATATTACGAGGAAAGTGGTCGCCTTAAACATCCAATTTCTCAACAAATCCACCGCCTCTCCAGATGGATTGAACACAAATTGTTTAGGCAGGTGTCACGTCTAACGTATTCTTCCTCCTGCTTCTCCGGTTCGTATTCTCTTCCACATAGCATGGTAAGGGTTTCTAGCATTTTTGGGCAAGTACCTCTTGAATAGACATTTCTGAATTCCCCTTTCTGTGCGATGCGAACATAAAATCCTCGATAATTTCATCTCTGTAAATATGATATGGCTCCAAAGGTTTAGCGCAATATATATATATAGAAATTCCATACAATCGTAAGACCAATAGGCCTACAGCACGCTACTTGCCATTGATAAGGAATTTGGCGATTTTTATAGGAGCTGGCCTACAATTCTCTTTGAAACTCTGAACAATTTTTCTCATTTATCGCATTTGTCTGTTTAAAAAGTCATCGAAATGCTAAACCGTTTCATTACAACCGTTTTAATGGCAAACCCAAATGAATTCATTATTATATTTTTGCGACTACACCAACTAAAGAAAACTTGGCATAGTCTTCTTTGTTTCGTTTAAAAGTTAAATAAATATTTAACGGAAATTATTAATGAATTATGTCATGTATTTAATCATTGTTGCGATTGTTGCGATTGTTGCGGTCGCTAACTATTACGAATTTGTAAATAAATAAAAATAAAAATACAAAGAAAAAGAAAAAGAAAGCAAATCTAAATCCGACACTTAACAACGTAAAGGTCAGGACTTTAAAGACAAATTATATAAATAAATTGTTATAATATTTCCTCAAAATTGTTTGTCTTACTTATCTGACCTAATTTTCAACTATTTCAAAGACAACGAATGCAATCTATTTGTACAACAATAATTTTTTCTAATTATTAATCGTTCATTGCGCGCGGCTTATTACTGATAAGACTCTATGACCATTTTGTCAGTTTAGAAGTGCATTAATATTGATAAAGTTGCTGTAAATTTATTTATTATAGCTGGCGGTATGTAAACAAAAACATCAATGAGCCTAAGCATTAAACATAATTGTCATTAATAATTTTAATACACGCGTTGATTATTATCGAATGTAATCAATCATACTTGTAACGATCTCACTTGAAAGTGCAATAGGTTTGCAATGCCCTTTTATCAGCATAACTGCTCTCGAGAGTGCGTATTTCCACTTACATCGATCATAGAAAACTATAATAACTTTTTCATTTTACATGAAACATCCCAAACTAGATAAGCTAAGAAAACATTAGAAAAACTATTGTCAAAATTTTTCAACAACAAACTCGAAAATTATTGCATTTTTGAGCTAAATGGTGCGCTTGTTGAGTCTGTGCCGGAAAGAAAAACTAATGTTTATGCAAAGTGTTCACTTTTAATAGCGATCTGTGAGTTTCAGCAAATTTAATTATATTTTGACATTTCGCTTTTTCAATTCCGAGAAGAGCAAATAGCATGGCCATAATAAGCCATGCGTAGCGCTGGAAGACAATGCGCGATTTCCGTTTTTGAAATACTGCTCGCTCTGAAATTGCTATCAAATCCTCTCCAACATCAGAAGTAACTACATACACATTGTTGGCATTATTTCGTCTAAAAATTTGCGCGAACTAATCATTTATTCACGACTCAGATTGCCTCTCCCTATCCCTAAAACCCAAAAATGTTTATTTGCCTCCAACTTTCTTAAATAGGAAAAGAATTGAAAAACGTAGAGTATTTATGTCAACCAATCGTACTTCAAATGTCCAAATAACGAAACACTTAAGTATGCTAAAGATTAAGCAATTGTTACTCGTGTACCTTTTCATACCATTGGCTTAGAAGGTTTATCTAGCAATTGTTTTACCCTTAAGTCCGTAATCAATGAGAAAAATTATTCTTGCAATCTTGCAAAAAATATATTTGTCATAGCTCTTTGCCAGATTAAATGGCCAGTGTGGTTTCCACCCTCTTATTATGGTTTTATCACTCATTCTCGCGATATATAAATAAATCAACTTTACGCATATGCTTGTTGGCAACAAGTATACATTTGAAATTACAAATCTACCCCTCACTACGGTTTATATTTATTCATAAGGGCGAGTGCAAGAATCTCTCTGTCTCTCTCTCTCTCTCTCTCTCTCTCTCTCTCTCTCTCTCTCTGTTTCTCTTTCTCTCCTGATGAATGCTGGCGTTTACAGGCCTGAAATACTTCAATCGCACATGTATGTAATGTTAAGTAGTATTGCGTAGAAGCTAACAGCGATACCGTAATCTGTAATATACAGAGATTGAGCGAGGGAGAGATAAACTTTGTCAGCTGTTATTGTTTATCGTATATGTAACAGAATTACAGTAATTAGCAAAGCCAATAATTTCAATAACACAAAGCTTTACGCTAATGCAGACTGTAATAATATAAATATGACGACTTGAAAGTGATTACAAAATACTTAGCTTACCTTTGTAAAAAAAAATATATTAAAAAATCTGACTTATAAGCATTTGTCAGAAAAGCCATGGCATTAAAACTTTGCTTACAATGAGCTTCAATTGAGATTCAATTTGCTCGTTCGTTAAGAAGGTAAATTGGCTGATTCGTTTCACAGATTCAATTAGAGTTATTGCAATAATATCCATTTGTCACATACATAGTAATATTTCTACGATATTAACAGGCGCGTGCAAATGTTTCAACAACGATGTAGATTGTGCTGTTCGCACAATGAATGGGAAAAAGATAAATAAAAATAGTAGCGAATAGCTTTAGCTTTAGCTAGCTGTTCAGAGCTGTTCAGAGATTACAGCTTCAACTAATGCCATCTATTGTTATCTTTTTGTTTTTTTTGTGATAACATAGCTTCACATATAAAGTTTGATATTATTTTCAAACAGGCAGAGGTGAATGTAATTTTTCGTTCGTTTACTTATTTTATTATTAAATTTTTTGAAATATATCTTCAGTTTGGTTTTATTGAATTTTTTTTTTTTCAGCAAGTTACGAACGATCTGACATTTGATGATACTTTCGACATTGATCAGTTCGAGGATGTGCCAGCGTCTGGAACGAAATTACGCAGTGCCCGCGATCTTAATGAACAAGATTTAATTGACGATGAATTGCAGCCAGTCGAGGCCATAGATAGTGAAGATCAAAATGGCGGCAGTTGGTTAATGCAAAGCGTTAAACGTGTGCGCCGAGAATTAGGCCGTTTATTTGGTAGCGATAACAACTCACAAGACATTGAGAAAACTAGAAGCAAACAACATAGAAGACGTAGTCATGGTGAACGTTTAGCGGGCGAGAAGAAGAAACGTCAACAATCGCCAGAAGGGGAAAATGGCCAACAGCAACAACGTAAAAAGAGAAAACAAGTAAGACCCGATGGAGAACTAAAGGCGAAGAAACAATCGAAAAAGTTAATGAAGATCACCGGTAAACATAGTAAACGCCAGTCGAATGGTGATGATAATTTTGAGGGTTCCGGCGACGATGAAGATCTCTACGAAACTGATCAATGTAATAAAAAGCAATTTTTTAAAATGATTCTCCAAAAAGTATATTACAAATTTCTTTCTTTTAAGGGCAAACTTTATTCACCCTTAATGAACCTTGGCTGGATGAGTACCGCGACGGTCCCAGCAGCCCACAATATCAAAATTTAGGTCATCAAGTTGAAACCGCATTCATGGAAGTGATTTCGGATATGTATGGTGACGACGTCGATTATAGCGTTAAAGTGAAATTTGTAAGGGTCATGTAAGTACTGTAATGGAAAGGTCTAAATTGCAGTGTAATAATAATGCTATTTCCCTTTTGTAGTCCAACTTCGGATCACTATAAAATTCACTGCATTGTGCAGTTAGAGTTGCCTAAAAAAATGAAAGATTTTGGTGATAGATTGCGTGAACAAATTGCGAAATATCGACGTATAGGACAAAATCTCAGTGCCGAGGTGGATGAGCAATTTTACTTCCGGACAGGTAAGTACAAGGAAAAAGAGTAATAGCTGCCTTCGAAAAGAGTTTGTTAAGACTTAAAATTCTTAAGAAAAAATTCTCTTTCACTTTACTCTAAAGCATTTTTTTCTCTTTGGTTTTAAATAAAATAAAATCGTAGTAGTAATGGGTCTTCTAGAGAGTCTTTAGTTCAAGCTCTAATCTATTTTTCTCTCATTTACTCAATGAATGGATCGTTAACTGTATTCTACACATTTACATGACTTAGCTAAGACATAAATCTCTGCAATTTTCTTTCAACCTATCTGCGTCTCTCAATCTTTTCTCATCACAATGCATTTAAACATTTGATATCATTAGATGTTACTGATCATGAATATGTTGATAATGTTACACCGGATGGTTATGAGCACGGCAATAATGGTTTCAAGTATGACTGCGATCAAGATGGCTTTTTTACTTGTGGTGACGGTCAAGAGATTCCCTGCATATATCGATGCGATAATAAATTTGATTGTGAAGATGAAACTGATGAAGCAAAAGAGATGTGTGACACCATATTTAACGAAGACGAACTATCAGCTGAAGACGAACGGCATCGAGGAAATGAAGACGAACACAGAGAACGTCATTCAGGCGAAGAAGGAAATGATGGAGGGTACACAGAAAATCGCCATTCAGAAGAAGATCAACGCTATCCAGTCGATGATGATCGTAATTCGGGACGTGAACATCAATATCCGGCCGAGGGTTCAGATCGGTCGGAGAACGAACCTCGCTACTCTGAAGGTGATCGCCGATATCCTGAAAGCGATCGTCGCTATCCCGAAGAGGACTCTGATCATCGTGGAAGTGATTCTCGTTATCCTGAAAATGAACATTATCCGGAAGGTGATCATCGCTATCCTGAAGGTGAGCATTACCCAGGAGGCGATCGTCGCCATCCGGAAGGCGAACAATACCCAAGAGGCGATCATCGCTACCATGAAAATGAGCATTATCCAGATGGCGATCACCACTATCCCGAAAATGAACATTATCCAGAAGGCGATCATCGCTATCCCGAAGGTGAACATTACCCGGGAGGCGATCGTCGCTATCCTGAAGGTGAACATTACCCAGGAGGCGATCGTAGCTATCCTGAACGCGAACATTACCCAGACGTTGATCATCGTTATCCTGATGGAAAAATTTCTTACTCGGGAAGCGATCCCCGTTATCCTGATATTGATCCCCGTTATGGTAGTCACCGTCCTGATAGTACTTCCTCGGAATCCGATCATGGACATCCATTGGGTCCACACACCGACGTATCCACCAGCGAAGAATTTAATTGTTTAGCTAATCCGAACGGTGAATTTTTATGCCAAGATGGCCGTATCTTGCCCTGTTATTTAAGATGTGATGGCCAACCTGATTGTCAGGACCATTCCGACGAAGCTGATGAAGAATGTTCTCGTACAGGTATCAAAAACCGACCGATTCAATTCACTCGAAACATTAACAAATTTCCGCCCATTAAAAATTCTTAAGCTATAACTCGCAAAAAACTCGAAAATCTTCCTTCCTCTTTTATTTTTGGGATTTCCTACTAACATTGTTTGTAAAATTATGTTAATGGCTAACATTTCAAGATAGTTCTTACCACGAGTATCTTAATATATGCTTTACTAATACTAACAAAAGCTAATTAAAATTAGAACAAACAACGACTAATCTTAAAGGATTCGTAACTATTATACTAATAATTCCATTTTTGATCAGAAAACAATATAAAAAATTTTAAGTACTTTGAGTTAAGGGATAAAATCAAGTACCTTGAAATTATAATGAAAGGCCAACTTAGTATCGCTAAAAATACTTTAATTGAATAATCATCAAAATAATTTTCTCTGTTAACTATAAAGCAAAGTACGCTGCTATGCGAAAACCATGTTTCGGATATATTCACTACTATTATTTCGAAGATAGGCAGCCAGTTTAGTGCCCTATTGCATTTAATCGGCATTGGCTGCTACGATCGAAATGACGCCATCGGCATCAGAAACATATTAAAAGAGCCCGTTTTTGTCTGCATTTCATAGATCCTACAGTGTATTCTGATTAAAATCCCCGCACTCCCCTATGTGCTTACGTCGCGTCATCCCGGGCTCAGCTCTTGCAATCAAAGTAATCTTACATACATCCGATGGACACAATTTCTTCCTCAAAAATTAACAGTAGGTTTCCTTCTCGCACGTCTGTATGCAGGAAATGCAAAATTTACTTCGCATTCGCCTTTCACGCAACTATTTTCACCGATTTATATGTTGGTATAAATATAAGGATCGTAAATCTATACTAAAACATATAGCGATTCCATGGAAGAACTACAATTTCATTATATAATGAAACTTTGCCGATTTGTTTACTATTCCGTGAAGAAATGCGAAACTTTATTATGTTGACACTTTAAGAAGAATTATCTAAAACGAAAAGGATAACTTGCCATCCTTATTAGGAAACCCTATGCATAAATCGATTGCGAAAACAAAAAAAAAAAAAAGGCTTTCTTTAAGGAATGTTCTTAATTCATTTTTCTCCCCCCGGCATTAAAAAAAATTCGCTATGACATAACATTGCTGCGAGATCCTCCAAAGTATACACAATTTTAATAGGCATATGACTTCGACCCGAGTTAGCCAAGCGCGTCCATATTTGTTTCGCTTTTATTATAATTTATTGATGCTTTCAGATGCATTAAAATTGGGACAAAAAGCTCAAAGTCGCTTCTTTCGAATGATCAGTCAATGCTTTAGTCGGTTATACGACCAAGCTTGCTTCTTAACTGCGGCTCGAAATTGTAGCTCAAATATGATCTCGGTGCTTGTAGACGGATGCAGTTAAATAATAGTGCAGAGGTGAAGAGAGAGACGAATGCAACAAAAAATTTCGAATTCGTTTTGAAATCTTATTTGGACCAAGCATTTGTAATAAGTGGAGAAGAAACAGAAACGAGTCGAGTTAGACGCAGTTCTTATTCTGCCAATCCATTCCGAATCGTGATCTATTTATTTTCCTGTTTTTTTTTTTTAATCGATTCAAGCGTACACAGACGTCCGTCCATCTGCAGACATGCAGATGAAAACCTTTTGGAAATGCATGAGATTAGATGTCTTTTAAAATCATTCCCAATATACGAGTGGGTCATTGCGGGATGATGCATCTAATGGTCGGCCTTATCCGATTATAAGATTTTAAACTTCTTACATAAATATTCAATAAAAACTCTTCGGAAAAATTCCCTTGAAATGATAGATGGCCTACGAATGAATTCACTAGAAATAGTAGAACTACTAATTTTCGTATTTATTTTGAGGGAAAATAATAATTAAAAGACTTTAAATTTGTTGCGTGTTTTCTTAATCCGCTTTAATCCACGCTTTGAAAATTTAACTTATTTTGTGTCAAATCATGTTTACTTTTCAAAACAGTTTTACTAACAATTGCTTATTAATTACGTAACGCTATTGAGATCAATTCAATTAAAACGATTTTTAAAATTTCCTTTTCCCCCATTTTGTAACTAAATTAATTTTTTAAAGAAAATTTATAACAAAAAAAAAAAAAAACGAAAGGGCTTGATGAGCCAATGGAATTTATTTTCCATATGGGTTTTTACTGCTTGGCTTTTTTATTCTGTGTTTGTGTTTGCGTTTGCCGGAAATAATGGATACTGTTCTCTCTACCCCTTAAAAAGCTTTGGCCTACCTTACGCTTTCCCAGCATATGTGAAATTATAATAAATTTAATTTTTTTTGTTTTTTTTATTTTCTTAATACATCCTTCAAACAGAAAATGACACTGATAACGGATTCGATACCAGTACTGAAGGTGATATACATATTGGTGGTGATAATGAGTTTGATGGTTCTGGTGAGGGTGAGGTTGAACCTCGTCACTTCAATGTTACCGAAACTAGTCCCGTTTATACTTCGCCTCAACATGGTGGTGGTTGCCGAGGTGACGCGACATACACTTGCCGTCATAGCGGTTACGTTATATGCGATGAGCATGTATGCGATGGCACCGAACATTGTCTCGACGGAGAAGATGAAGAAAATTGTGGTTCTGTTGAGGATAATACTTCTTACGAAAAGGGTATAACAACAGCTTAAAATCCAGTGTATAAAATTTTTTTTTATTTTTTTTTTTTTTTTTTTTTTTTTTTTTCTTTTACTGCATATGTGTTTGTTGTTGTCTTTCACTTTCGCTCTTGTCGTTTCTCATTCAAAATACGTTTTGTCGATCATTTGTGGTGTAATGTCTCTCTCATTGTGTTTTCAGTTGCATTTCGTAATTTTTCAACGATATTCAATGCTTTATGCCGGTTGTAACGAACTCTAACTCATTAAAGGTATTTAAGAGCATCAAATAAAAAAAAAAAAAAAAAAAAATTAATATAAAGAAGATGTATGTTTGTGATATTTCGTTTAATATGTAAATCGAAGTTTATCGTGATGGTTAACTAAAATTCGAAGCTTAAACTCAAATCGATGAGATTCGTAGAACTTCTAAACTAAAAGCTTCCAATAAACAGAACGAATGTACAAAAATATTAAAAGTACTGCAAAAGGATAAACTTGCCGCACCTTCAAGGCGTTTACACACTTAAAAGTATAACTTCTACATAAATATTTTTTTTAATTACTTGAAAGAGTTTAACGAACCGACAAACCAAGATAGATCGGTTTGCTCCTCATCGAGGCAAATGATGTTTAACCTAACTTAGTGCAAGCTTTAAATGGAGTCTATACGAGAAGAATAAACTCTTTGCAGTCGTTTAAAGCGTTTGATTAAATGTGCGAAATACCATTTAGTCAATGTCGTTCTTTGTATATAAGATTTTTGAGAGCAATTCTCGAAACAGAAGGAGGTTCAGACGATGTTTAACAAAACATCTCTTTTCTACATTTTATTTACTTAATTTTATTTATTATGTTTATGTTTATTATTGTATATGATTTTAATGCATATAGAATCACTTATTGAAAAGTTTTTTGCAACGCGTATGAAACGAGTAAAAGAATCAATAGTTTTTTAATTGAAAACCTCAAAATTATTTATTAATCGGTTTCGTTTTTCTAAACTTTTCATGTCAAGTCTCCAAAAATGATGAAAATTCTTTTTTGATAAAAATATAAGAAATATTTCTACAATTTCAAAAATATATATTATTAATTAATAATTATTAAATAAAAGTATCTGAATATACTTGTGATAATAGTTTAATGCATGTTCGGTGAAATCCTATTAATCGTCCTTTACAAAAAAAGTTAATTCAATGATTTTACTAATAAAAGTTGAAAAAAAAAATTCACCGGATTTTCGCACTTCCTTACATCCACTAAGTCACTTAGCACATGTAGTAAAAAACAAATTGTGAAAATTTGTACTAACATCAATATAAAGACTAATACCATCATACATTTGTGTCTGTCATCTACATCTCGTTTAACCCTTTGTTCGTCATCTAAGTGTTCATTTGAAGAGAAGTCTTCTGATTTATTTTTATTTTTCAATTTTAATTTAACTCTTATATAAAACATGTGCTTACAGTTTGTGCAGCGAACGAATTCAAATGCGACGATCGCTGTTTACCAAAAGAGTATCAATGTAACGGTGTGATCGAATGTTACGATCGTACTGACGAAGAACATTGTCCAGGTGAGCTTCTTTTTACAATTTATTTATTTCTCTTATTTACTTACTTTTTTCAATTGTTTTCTTTTTGATATTTCAATTATTATTTACTTAAAATTTTCTTGGGGGGCCCCCCCCCCCCCTTTCCACCCCTTTTTTTTTTCTTTTTTTAAAAATGATTTGCAAATTTTAAGACCTTTCCGGGAATATACATATGTACGAAAACACGAATTGTTAATTTCCAAGTCTTTCTCAACGTTTCAGTAAACACATTTGCAAATGCTTATCTTATTTGCTAAGCCTGACCATCTCCACGAATCTATTACGCGAAGAATTGCTCTGCTACGAGCGAGTGATGGTCTAACACTAGCGTGATTAAATAAACCAAAACCTGGTGTTTACACCACGTTATGTCAAGTGTTCAGATCATTTTATCGATCCCATGTATACTTTTTTAAAAAATTCTACAATGATTTTCATTAAAATTAATCTTGAATTTTGACAAATGTTTGATTCGATTTATCTATAAGGGCCATATAAAATAAAATTTGGCAAAAAAAAAAATTGTAAATGCTCTAAAATGCTCTAAAATCCAATATGCTCCGCAATGTAGATTTATTAGCTACGAACGTGTCACTCGGCTTATCGTAATCAATTTTCAGCGTAAGCCTTTAATTAACTCTTAAAATGATTTCTACCGAATTGTATGTCTATAATGCAGCTATAGTTTATACATTATTTTTAAAAATACAAATTTTTAATTACTGTAAGCTGATTATCTCCATTTGTTCACACTACACCACTTGTTGTTCTGCGCCTATTAAATTTGTGTCGACGTAGGTAACACCGAGAGAAGCTTAAGATACAGTCACGTTTTTGGTTTGGATCGGTCAATTTTTTCGACCATTCCTTATATAACGCCCCATTTCGAAAAGTCGTTATTTGGAACAAAAATTACATTTTTCAAAACTTGTAGCCAAAACTATCTTTTTAATAGTATTTGGACTTTGTAAATTGGTATGAAAAATTTGGTAAGAGTGGACCAATTTTTGAAACCCTATCTTATATATAGTCGTTCCTCGGAAAACTGAATCTTTTTACATAGTAAAAAGATATAACTTTTAATATCTTATGGTAAAAATTATTTCGTAATAGTAAACTGACATAGAAATCAAACTTACCAAATTTGGAACATTTAGGTCTAGGTTTTGGATATCACCGCATCTAAGCGTTTCTCCAATAGGAGGCTGTCATTAAAAGTATGCCTTTGCATGAAAATAATGTGCAACTTTTGTTGTATAACTATATTAGAATACGGTATCTAATAGCCGGCCTCGCTCGACTGTAATATTGTTATTTATTTTTAAGTTTGCTTCAGTGCAAAAGCACTTGTCAAGCTTTGACTTGTCATCTCAATTGTTTTACAATTTTAATAAAAAATAAAAACGGACAGATAGACGTATATATTAATTTATACATGCTGAGGTCTCTTTTGAGACCGGCATTCTTGGTCAATGTAAAAGAAAAAACCCAACATAGCAATGTCAAAAATGTGTAAATTATTATCAGCATAATATATGAGTAAGCGATTTATCCCAAGGAGGTTTATCGAAGGACCCGGTTGAAAAGGCAAGATGTGATATATCATTGATAAACAGATAAAATACTTTTCGAAAAATTGTTTTTGTAAGGTGTTAGCTTTAATCCCGGAAAGATTATATGATTTCCAAAACTGACTTCATTTTTATTATTATTATAATTTATTTAGACCAAAAAAATAAATTTTACGGCTAAACAAGGATAAGCACTAGCAACTCAGAGTGTTAGCCATATCTTTTAAAAAAAAATGGGGCAGATGGTTAATGTAATCACTTTCATAATCGATATTATGCTGTTCAAGCACTTTCCAGGTGTGCATAGAGTGGGATGATTCGAATATGAGTTTTCGAATTATGAAAATGTTCTCTCATTCACAAAATGTATGCGTAATTGTGAGAGGAGGAGGAGAAGCAGATTTCTTAAGGATCCATGACGAACTTTTGGAAATGTTTTGGTCTTGAATTCCGCCACGATATACAGTGGTGAAGCGGTATTAACTATAACATACGAGTAATATTGATAGTAGTACTGTCGATATTTTTTGTCAATTTTCTCTTCTATTTTTTTCTAATTTCATTCGTTTCATAAGAGACCTATTTGACTCGGCACCTAAACAATTTTGATGGCAATGGTATGCCTTACTTTGTTAACGGCCTTTCATCTGAATATGACAAAGTTTCAAATAGTGTCTACGACCGGCAACCTTGGTGATAATACTTTTTGAATTTAGTTTTGGGAGCATTGTTCGTGGTTCGAAGAATAGTCCCAGTTTTAGTCGTAAATGCTGAAATACTTTCGTAAAAGATATGATTGATCTGAACTTCACCCATGGCATCTATTACTGCATAGGCAGGGGCAAGTCGTCACACTCAGAACCGCGTCCAAAAGTGAGTAAAAAAGTGCATTGTCTCTAAGATTAATTCCCTGAAGACAAGATTTAGCCACCACGACGATTGGAATCCTAACCTTCGGGGGAAACATATGGGGATGTTTATTTTGGGACCAAAATATATAAACACTGAACATTTTGGGGTTCACATTTTCCACTGGAAACCACACCACCTTCATTTCATTCAAAGTGCGGCGAGCTTCATACATGGCTTCGAAAAGTTTCAGCCACGTAACGATGTTTTTATTATATTTGTAAACTGTCATTCAAGAGAGAGTTCAAGAGAGGAACGTCCTTACGAACAGTGTGTTTTGATATCAATCAAACCAGAAACATTTCCGCTTACACACAAGTTTTTACTTAGTGTCTATCTTATCAGTGTTTAACCCTCTGCCCAATTAAGCTATTTAGAACTATTTATTCTTTACAGTTCTTCCTTTGAGTAGGTGGGAGATTTTTAAATATAAAATCCCCATTTTCCCTACAATACTACATGGGGAGATGTAATTTCCGCAGTGCTAGTACCGTCACTTGGTACTTTAAATGCTTGGTAGTTGATTAACCAAAACGAAAGCCATTATTAGTATTAGTAAGGTCTCAGTATAGATCACTGGGAAAATGTCATTGGCCTCTGTTTAACCCAATGACTACTTAGCACGATTTTCATCATCATTATATGTGGACAGATATGCAGAACATGAACTTAAATGTCAGACCTAATATGAAATACTTCCGGCATTTGCCGTCAGCTTGATAAAATGCAGTCTTGATTTTTATCGAATTTTATAACCTTCGATTTATCGTTCAGCAGTTTGCGTAAATAGATTTGAAAAGTTTACTTGCTTGTGTCTCGAATAATTGAAAACCTCTTGAGATTTTTTCTAATATCAAAAAAAATGAGGGAAAAAAAAAATGAAACAAACTAACGGTAATCTGAGTGAATTTAACACAAACCAGATGATAAATTATCAGCCAGTATTTAAATTGTTTTAAAATGAGAAATTTTGTCTCTTTAAGGCGGTAAGAAAATGTATTCAAAACTTTTTGAAAAAAAAAAAAAAAATCTAAACACTGAAAATGACCCTGAAAATTTAATCTAAATATGTTTTTCTTTCTCGATAGCGTAAGTAAAATTTAATTTCATTGTAAAGCGCAAAAATGTTTAAATCCTTCATCTAAAGGTCATTCGTAGTAAATTTTCCATATGCGTAGGTATTAAATAACTTATTCATATTTGCAATTTGTGGCAGAGCGTGTTAAGTGGGAGTTTCTATGTTGTATTAAAAAGAAGAAGAGGGAAAAAAAAATCGAATGAGAAAATTATCTCTGCCGAATGCAACGAACTCTAAATACCTTTCCCATCAAAGAGATTTAAAAGATTTACTTACATTTACATATTAGTTTACAAGTAAAGTGTGCCTTGTTTCGCAACAAGGGAGGCTTCACATGCCATTTAGTCGGCGGGAAATTCATTTTTAAAAATATTACTTAAATGTCGATTCTCTAAAAAGTCATCATATAACGAGTCAAACCATAATCAAACCATATAAATTGTATTCGACAATTATTGTTGTACGGAGTTGGGGGAAGGGAAAACAAAGCGGGGCAGAGAGAGAGAGAGAGATAGAGAGAGAGAGCAAATAGGTTTAAGTAAGAGATCTGGAAATTATTATATTTATGCACGGCAAGGATTTTTAAACAAATTTAACTGACTTTCAAAGATATTTCTGGAAATTAGTCTGATTACAAAACCGTTATCAGTTTCTCGAAAAGATTGCTTAACATTATCTATGGGCATCTGTCTCTTACGCTAGATGTTGTCTTTAAGCATTACCCGACAATCTATCCTTCTATTAAGTTACAATCGAAAAAGCTTTAGTGATACCGATCAAGTTCTATATATATCACAGAACATTGTTTCAATACAATGCCATTACTTTTACAACTTCGCCAACTGACACAACAATTGTTTTTATAGTTCTAGGCAAATACCCAAATCAAAGTGCCAAGCATGCGCACGTGTCAAGCATCGTATACTGTACGCAACTCCTTTACCGAAAGTATTTGTGCAATCATTTAATGCTTTCCAAATATCTTTCTCGACTTCAAAGAAGGTTCAAATTCTAAATTCAATCATGGAATGAAATCAATTAAATTTTAGAAAAGAATTTTTAACCCTCCTCTTATTTAATTTTGACCAAATTAATGTGACATAAACAGTCTTAAATTCCTAAGCCTTTTGAATCTTTTCTGCCATTTGGTAAATAACTTTAGGTGCTAAACTCGTTTCGCACTGCTTCCTTGCAAAATTTATATATATGTCCAATTATTTGCTAAAATTTTTGAAAAATTTCATTATATTTTGAACATTGATTGAGATACGATAAAAAACTAGACAAGGAGTTACCAGAGAGATATGATGAAAAACTAGAGAAGGAGTTCCAATAAATATTATGATATTAATCTGAATAGGCGCAAGCGTGAAACGTATCGAAAGCTTTATAAAAATTTCAAAACCCGTTGAACGAGATTTATT